CACTGTCCATCACATGGAAATTACTGCTCCCACTTCTTAGCCAGCAGAAGGCATCAGGGTTTTATATGCTTTTGCATCTACTATGAGATAAATTATCTGAGCTTACTCCAGCTTCCAGTGAGGGTACTTTGAATAACTCAGATAAGGCTGCCTGAAAATACCAGGGTGTGGTTAGACAAAGGTGTTTAATGTTACCTTCAGGTGGCTGTGATATCTTGTATCCACCCATACAGTCACCAACACTTTCAACAAACAATTATAAGCTACCTGTACCCCACTGCTGCGAGATTTGCACTGCAAATTCAGAACTACGGTGGCATTACTAGTGTTTGTACAAAGATACCAAGAATTAATATGTATATATATTCAATGCCTTTAGAAAATATTCCCTTTTAATGCTGGAGGATACGGTTCTTGATTTTGCTTACAGTGAGTGCCCTGTGAAGGACTGGAGCAGGCTACTGACTTTTTTGGCTGTTTTTTACCAAATACTATTTAGTTGATACTTTCTCCTATTTGTGCAAAAGGACAAGAGTTTATTGAGATAATTTTCTGGGATTAGAAAGTGACTGTTTATAGGCTACTAAAGCGGTTTCTGAGTCTGCTGATATTCCTTGGGAATTTAACAGCCATGATGTACCTCACCACATTATTTGCCTATAGTTTTATCCCCATGTGAAAGTTACTGAAAATGAGTACATGAAGAAGAATGCTCTAGCAATTATGACATAACCTTACAGATTGGGAAAACCTCCATGAAAGACATTTTCTTTTATCTTTTCATCTCTGAAACAATTTCTGATGGAAATCTTAAAATCAGACTGAGAGAGCAGGCATAGTAGTGGGATCATACTTGTATCAACCTATACATCCACATTAGACACCTTTCTCTGCAGAACTTCACCCCACCCTAAATCTTTCCAATAAGCAGCCTTACGTGTGTCTCTGCATGGACACTTGCAAGATGAAAGCTGCCACTGTGGAGCTTGGAGCAATGCCTTCTAGAGTAAATGTATGAATCTTAGCACCTATGGCAAAAGAGACAGAATTTATCATGAATGCATATCCTCTGTGTACTGGACACAGATGTGTCATATAACACATTTTCTGACTGGTGGATTACACAAAGAGTGTGACAAGTGGCTGAAATATGAAATGTGAACTTTGGTGATTCACTCTGTAAGTCACAGATTAGTTTGCTTTAAGTACACGATCTCTTTTTAGAGACTCTCATTGTGTGAGCAATATTAAATAACACTCTCTTGCCTGTCACAGTTATGAACCTTGACTCCTTTGAGGTCTTTATTACAGGCTTTGAGCAGCTACCTTGATCAAGATAATATTCTCTGTCCAAAAATAGGATCTGGGACAACACTTCATTCTTTATTATTGCTCTCCAGAGATGCTGGAAGTTCAAAGACCCTGTAGGGCCAATGATAATTCTATGAAATGCACTATTAAAACTAGAAGCAAATACAAAAAAACCTCACATTAGGGTAGTTTATTTCAGAACTAAAAAAACAACTAATAGGTATATTTGGAAAGGGGACTTAGCCAACTGCAACATGCAGGATGTATCATTTGCCTACCTTGCCAGCTAGCTGTGTGCATGTCTAGGAAGGAAGGAGAAGGAGATGCCCAGGCTCCCAGACCAACCTGCAGGGACAAGTAGATTCCTCAGAAGAGAGATCAGCAATCTGTGCAGTCAGGACTCTAAACCAAACTTCCTGACTTCCGTATGCAGGTAACAGGCGTGGTTTAACCTCTGAATCTCTCCATACCCAAAGTCGGGGTTTTGAAAATTTATCTTTGCACTGGAACTCCTGTCCTGAATTTCAATCTGCCTGACCTGTCTTACAGTTTTGGTATATGTCTGTCTAAATTATTCCTATGGGGAAGGGAACCCTCTAGTGCATTTAAGGCAGAGGAGCTTGTGTCTTTGAAGACCTAATAATTGTTCTGCCTAATTCCCTAGCCTGCTTCTGATTATCTGTAGAGCCTGAATGCCTCCAGAGGCAAGGGGAAGGCTGAAGAGCCTTCTCTGACAAGGTGTCAGATCCAGTGTCCTGGATCACATACCTAACGTAACAGAAAAAGATTGCTTTCCAGTTTCAGCTTTATTTTAAAATCAAATCATAGAAAGAAGAAGGTGCAAAGCTTACTAAATATATCAGTGGAAGTCACTGGTTCAGTTTTTTGTCCCTTCCCTTATCAGTCTCCTAGGGAAGACTTTATCACATAGGAAATGTAATATCCTGGGTGGAGCTGGTAACTGGGTTTACTACTTTTTGTCATGAATTTGCTGACTGGATCAGAAGAGAGAAGACATTTGAATAAAGCAGGAAGAAAATAAAAAGCTAACATGACTTTACCACAGCTGAGTGTTTTTTCAAGTCGTAATTTAGGTCCAGTTTAAATGTGCACCAAGTATTCTTTTAAAAATATTCCAACCTTAGAATATATGTATATCTATGGCGAACTTCTATTGATTGGTCTCTTTTGCATGAAAATCTTTCATACTAGATGCAGGTTATTTAAAAACACCAAGTTGAAAGAAAAAGAGAGTAAAGACTTATACCTCTGTCTATAAAACAGCAATCATCTTATCTGCCAAAATCACATGTAGTGGACTATTAGTTCTTTGTTCCATATCCTGTGTTTGAAAAGTCTTACTTTATAAAGATGTCAGGACTAAAGCCATTATAAGGAATTTCCTCCAAGGAACACATCCATTTGTGGAGACGTGTATTTTATGCATGGTAACTAATATATATGGCCTGCCATTTATGAAAACTTAGAAATTATACTCTGTGCTGATGCTTCATTTTTGTGTTGTTATTTTCCAGATGGGAGTTGCTGTAGTGGATTCATCTGTTGCAGGACTTGGTGGTTGTCCCTATGCAAAAGGTGCTACTGGAAATGTAGCCACAGAGGACGTGATATACATGCTGAATGGTCTGGGGATCAGCACAGTAAGATATTTTTACTTTCTATTTAAGACCTAAAGGACAAAAATATATTTTTCTAGGAAATATATGATACATACCTCACAATAACTTGTGCTGTTCAATAAAATATTCAGGGCCCAGTTTTTGCAAACGAAATGCTTTAATGTGGCTTGACATATAACAGGAATGATGCTGTCTTCATTGGCAGTTTAGACTAGAAATGGCTTGTGTATTTAACATAATTTGAAAAATTCACTTCTTCCTATCTGCAGCTATGAGGAACTGAGTAGCAGCTGCTTTGTGTCATTGCTCTGTCTCAGTAGCCACAAAAAATTCAGTACCATAGATATTACTCCAGGAGGTTGATTATCTCAACAGTGGAAGGACTGAGTAGATCTCAGCTTTTGTCACTGTTTTGGATTTAGCTCATAGTGCTTATTAATTTATCATCATTTTTTTCTGACTTCAAAGTTGAAAAAAAATGTGGTGTTTGGCACCCAAGCATAGGACATTGTTATTTCTCAGGTAGCCACTTAAGATATTTCAAAATTGTACAGAATCTGTTACTGGCTAGGAGGCTTCACAGTCATTTTTATTACCAGTTCTGTTCTTGGAGGAGAGGGCAGAGCAGCTTGTATGCACTGAGCTGCACTTTAATGAACCTTACCAGTGAGCATCTACACCTCAAGAGCACACTTTTAGTACCCCTGGCTTGGTTGGCATATTAATTATTCAGTATTCCTAGGACTCAGTTACTGCCTTCTTCAATAAATGTGGTCCTTGGTCTTCCTGTTGGTCCCCATTTTTCTGGCTATGTGGCATAATGAATTTGTGCTAAGTTGGGCACTGCAGTATCTTTATGTTTAATCTACACATAGACTTGGAGAGTCAGGTTCAAAGGAGAACATATTAAGAACTACCAAAACTATAAAGTGTGTGGTTTGCATTTAAACTACTGCAGAAAGAAATCTAAATGCCTGACATCTGAAATAGGAAGATTTCAATTATTGAGGAGCTCATTGGAACTTATGACTTGTTTGTAGGCTTCAGTTCTGTGTGGTGTACGTGCCAATGGAGTTCCTTGAAATGAAAGGATTACAGAACTTGTTTCTGAATTACACATTCCCTGGGCACTGTTAAAGCATATTCAGTGCCTTGCAGAGTTTACTGTAAGCATTTATCTGCTCTCATTTGCTTTTTAGGGAGTTCACCATAGATGTCAGACACATTTAGAAAATGTTCAATCAACAAGTGTCCACTGTACAAGTGGACTGTGGTTTGAACCATTTATGTACACTTTGGGGTAGCTTTTCTTCATGAAGAAGATGTTTTTTCTTTTGAAGCAACACAATTCTTTGAAATAAGGAGGAGAAATCATGCTTTTCACTTTTAATTGCTCTGCACCTTAGGCTTTCAGTATAGTCTTTCCTTGGGCAAAATACTCATTGAACTTTCTAATTGACTCATAGCAAAAGGAAGTAATTAAGCAAAAATAGTCTGATTATATGAAATATACCATGCCCCAGGCTTCTTGATAAGATTGATTAATCTGTTAAAAATCTGGTGGCCAAGCAAGAGTCCAGCTTGTCCTAAAGGGTGATACCAAATCTCATGGAGGCAATCTCACCATCAAATGCTTAGTTCTTCATTTGGTTTGGCAGTGGTTTTATTTAGGTTTTGTTTTATTTTATATTTTAGATTATGCAATTGCAAAACACAAGGCTTTGCTTTGTGAATGCTTTCTGGCTCAATAAAGAAAGAGTATTTTACTGGATGAGAGACCTGGACCCTCGAAGTTATTACCATAATATATGATCTTTTGTCTTTATAATGTTGGTTGTTTTTGGTACCATTGCCAATTCTGTACAATCATTATTGAAGAAAATTATTAATATGTTCCTTTTTGTGTAATTGCACAAAATGAAGTCATAATTGCTAATGTTGTCCATTTGCAAGGAGCACTTTCTTATGTTCCTCTCAACTATACACTAAAGTTTTCAGTTAGTTGACGGACTGACCTCAAACATCAGGCAATGTTGGACAGTATTTAACCGTACATTATTTTAGCTGAGTTGGTCAGAGCATGGTGCTGATAACTCCAAGGTCACAGGTTTGATCCCCATATGGGCCATTCACTTAAAAATTGGACTTGATGGTCCTTGTGGGTCCCTTCCAACTCAGAGTATTCTGTGATATCTGTGAATTATTGAGTTCAGATTGACTAGATACATCAAAATAATAAATGATGCTTTTGCTGTACTGTTCTTCAGAACATATAAACAAGAAGTGATCCGTGAAATTAATCTTTGGCTTACTAAATATGAAATAATTTTGAAGTCAATGAGAATTAAAGGATTTTTCCTTCTGGCAGAAGCTTTTGCAATTTAAGGCCGTTTGTAGATAATATTAGAGGCACTTTTCTTTAGATTTTCTCAGGGGATATTAATTCCTTGGTGTGAAGGAGTAATTCTGGATATATGGAGTGATTACCCAGTATACTTAGTAAGTACATTCTGGGTATCTATCTGCAGACACATTATTTTGTTGACAACCTTACAAACACCTATTCCTGTCCCATTCCCATCTCTAAGTCATGCTAATGAAAGCTGGGTTTTGTGCCCTCATGCTAGTCCCCTTTGGTTCACAGTACTTATGTTAAGGAAGACAGTATAAAAAGAAGAGATTCATGTATTCCATTTAATGAATGTGAACTGTGAAGGTATGTTTCTTATTAACATATATCACATTATGCAGTGCTACAGTGATGGAAACATGACTACTGTGTAGTTTGGGGAGTTTATTTTGACATCTTCCATAATCTAACTACCAAATATGTCTATGGTGGTATGTTGCTCATTTCTTCCTTGTTAAAAAGCACTGATTGATTAAAATTTTTTAGATTATGTTATGTGCGATAGCACTTTACAAACTAAATCTAAGTAATGATCCATAAAGGATAAACAAAATAAGCTGAAATTAACCTTGTTATAACTGTATTAAAATGAGATAGTAAGAAAAGAATGTCTTTGAACTATATGGTTTAGATGGTGGTAGCATTTTTTTTCAAATTAAAAATGTTTTTGATTATATTTCTGCTAAGTCCCTTCTATTCTCATTAACATTTTTAGCCTATTTCAAGAATGAAAAAGGCTAAGTTTACCACAGAACATGGAACTTGATCCAATTAAAGGATTATGTATTTAAGTCAGGTTTCAGTCTGAATATTAGTGCATCAATTTGGAAGTGTGATGAAAATGTAACTTCTGGTGCAATACACTTTGTACTCTTTAATGGAGTGACATTCTCCCAGTTTTGAACGACTGCTCTGTGTATTGGTAATTCAAAGTCTCCTTTTTCATCCTTTCTACAGGAACTTTTCTCTGGCTTCAAATTGCAATCTTTGGAGCAAGTACTTATATCGCTTATATGATCTAACTTTAAAACTTCTACTATACAGGATTAATAAAGGAAACTTATAATGAAGTGGTTTTGCATCTTCAATCAATGATCTGATTTAATTTTAGCAATCAAGAAGTACTGATATGTATCACAGTTAAAAACAGTAGCTCAAAGGACATGTTTTTTAGCATGGGCAGATGAAGCAGTTGTGAACTTTTTCTCAGCTGTGCTATCAAGATAAATTGTAATTTGATATTGAAATGGACTCCTTCAAGAAGGAGATTATAGTAATTCAAGAGAATACAGGAGCCCGTTTCTCCTGGATTCAGTTGCCAATACAAGTGTCTTTCCTCCATTTTCCTGAGCTGCTAGTGGGGCACTTGCAAGCATGAAGCTTTATAGTGTTGGATGATAAATAAGTATAGCACATATTTAGACACTATATTTTTCTTCTAACTTCTAGTTGTAATTCCAGTTCTTTATTCCAGATTCTTTTGGGGTTGAAAGGTATTACTCCAGTATTTGGTCCACTGCTGATGGGACAAGAAATCACTCTCAAAGTAGCAGAACCTTTTGAACAACTAGAAGCTGTAACTATCTGTAAATCACTGTAGCTTTACTGATCCCCATTACTGACCTATAACATGAATCAGGCCCTTTGTTTGCAAAAATTAGACCCTGGAGCAAAAATCTTGGCGTCTAAGCATTTTCAACATGTGCATTTATTATTCTTAACATTTTTCACCTCTTTTTAGGGAGTAAATCTTTGTGCCGTGATGGAAGCTGGAAACTTCATCTGCACAGCTTTGAACAAGAAAACAAACTCGAAGGTTGCACAAGCTTCCTTCAGTACTCGAACTACCAATTAAACAGAGTTTTCTTTTTGCAGCTTGATTACATTTTCCATTTACCTTGACCAAGGCCATTTGCATCAGGAAAAGAAACAAGAAAACCATTGCGTCAAAGAAGCAAAATAGAACTAATATATATATATATTTTTTTTTTTTTCATGGGAGGAGTTATTGTACTGTACTGTCTTGTCAGGAATTGTCTGATTTGTAAGTAAGAAATAAATGACTGTAGTAAGAACCCTGTACTTGGTACTTCTACAGGTGAGAAAAATGTACAAACACCAGGACATTTTACCATGATTTAAATTGAATTTTTAGTTCTTTTCAGGAAAACCAGGTAGAAGCAGTGAGTACATAGTTAAATTTTAATCAAGATGTCTTTCAGAACAGTACAAATATTTTCAGTAGTTTATGGGATCTCACACTGTGTGTGGCCATTCTATTATGTATTTTATTTATCTGAATTCTCACTTTTCACTTGTCAAGTCACTGTGTTATGAACACGGAGCCAAATCTGAATTCACGGTAAGAATTTTTTAGCAATAGAACTTCTTTTAAATTTTATTTAACATCTGTTAAATTATGGATGATTTTATCTTGTTCCAAGACGTTGTGGTGAATGGCACTCTGCCAGATCTTTCAAATTCTCTTGCAAATTTCCTTATTTGTTACATATGTTAAATTTGTTGTAGTTGCCTTTTTTGGTAAAATTGTTAAAACTCAATTATATGAAACAAATAAAAATTGGCAAGGTTTTCAACATCATTCAGGTCCATAGTGGTGTAGAAGAGGCTACATTGTCATCCAAGGTTTCACCAAACAATTAGATTTTTCATTCTGTAGGCTATGAATTGATATTCTCATTCAGAAGTCACAGGTTTTTTAGGTTAATAGTATTTTGCTGGACTAGCTAACACAAAGGAGACCACTTAAGTTTTTTTTTGTGCTCTACTGATAATGATACTGTTCTTCTAAATGCCTTAGTTCAACAAGATGCCAATGAACTGCACTGTTGTTTTTAGATCAATAAAGAACAAATGGACAAATCCAAAGAGCATTTATATTTATAAATGTTCAATTGTGCCATGAAAATGCTGTCATGTTTTTCAGCCTGAAACTTCAGTACTCTTACTGGTTGGTTGTGTGGGATCTGTCTGTACCTCTCTGTGTACTTAACCTTGATCTGTATTTTTTCTGAACCTGGCCTGTTGACATGAAAATCTAAAACTCTGGACTGTGGTCTTCATCCATATTCTCAATTTTCCTCAAAAATGTGAAATCTTGTCAAAAGGTAAAATGAAAGAAAGTGAAAGATAACAGATAAAAAAAGAAAAGGCTGAAAAATTTTTTGTCTGGAACTCAAGTCTTCCAAGTTACAGACAGCTAAGTTACGGTTTGCCTTTGAAATACCAAAGTGAATTTTTCTGAGATCTTTTAGCCAGTTGTGTAGTTTAGAATTGGCATAGCTTAAGAAAGTCAGTATTTGCATTCCAGGCAAAGGTATAAATTTTATATAATACCTCTATCTTGTTTATGCCATAATGATAGTCAAAATTAATATAAGCTACTTTGTTTCACTCTTCTCATGATAAAAGTCAAAGGAAAAACAAAGAAATGTGTTCAGATGAGGCAAGAAATATTTTGCCTGTCATTCCAAAATACTAAATCTTTCCTGCAGAGTCTAGTAAGAAGACATTCAAGTATTCCTGAAGGTGTGAACACCCTGATTTTCTTGACCTGCCCTGGATGCATGGTTGGATCACCACAAAAAAGTTCTTTCTTCTTTTTCCCATGTTTCAGCTGGGGCTTTGCTATTTAGCAGCCACTATAGCTCATATATCAAAATATGAACTTAAATAAAACCAGGTCTTGAACAATTCATGGACTTAAAAATTCTGTAATGGATTAGACCCAATGAAGAGGTGAGGAAACTGCAGCAGTACTTAGACTGTACTCAGTCTAATAATTAGTAGTTAAGCCCAAACGTGGTGCCAGAATTGACATCTTAAAGACTCCCTAATTTATGTGCCATTTACCCCTGAAGGTGACTAACCTTACTGTGATACTTCCCTATTTAATAATAAATTTTCCTGTTTAGTTTTCTCTGTAGGCACAGAATTGGCTCATTTTGAGCTGAAGTATGCAGTTTTCATGTAGGTCCTGATGAATTTGCTTCCACCCAAGACCCCCTGAGCAAGCATGTTTAATGACATAAACAATATTGAGCTTCTCAAAGATTGAAAGTGAAGTCAGCCCTTGAAAAAAAACGAAACAGTTTTGATGCAAACCTGAATGTGAGACTAAACAACTGAACTGAGACTGAGCTTGCTGCTTAGCCTGGGGAGATTAAATACACACCCATGACAGGACCCAAGGGAATGGCTTGGAGTTGTTTTGGGGAGGTTTAGGTTGGGTATTAGAAAAATATTATTCACCCAGAGGGTGGTTGGGCACTGGAACAGCTCCCCAGGGCAGTGGTCACAGCACCAAGCCTGACAGAAATCAAGAAATGTTTGGACAGTGCTCTTGGGAACATGGTGTGACTCTTGGGGATGGTCCTGTGCAGGGTCCAGGAGTTGGACTTGATGATCCTTGTGGGTCCGTTCCAATTCAGCTTATCCTGTGATTATGAACTGAAAAAGAACACACTTTCTAGTAAATCTGAATGATTTTGTGCCGCTGGGTAGAATGGAATTAAAAATTCCTAAGACCAGAAAAATCACAGGAAAAGAATGTCAGTGCCTCTGCAACAGATGGCAGAGTTCTTTTCCTTGAGGGTGGTGGTGAGGCCTTCAGTTATCAGCCAAGTAAGGAACTGAATGGATAGTGTCCATTTTTATGCCTCTGAGCAGTGCATCCTAGGCTTCTCAGCATCTGGACT